CTTCTTGGTTCTGCATTTAACAGTAGTTAAGTGATTTGTTTTTCTTAAGTTATTGTTCCTAGTGGGTGGGAGCCAGTCTCGGAACCTGTTTAAACTGAGGAGAGACATGCCGAAATTAAGGGTCAACTTCTCAAGTTTCTGGGATATTGGAGGAATATTTAATTCGCTACAGATTATCTCATATGGGTGATTCATACAATAATCATGGGTAAGAATGACACGCAAAGCCTTCTTTTGCAATTGGGTCGGACTCCGACAGTAGCACAGAATCACCTACTACACACATACGTATTGGACTTGTGTGTTTAATGTGTTGGCTGCCCAAATCAGCTATTTCCCCTTTTCTCTGCTTCTGCCTGGCTAGGCCAGGTCATGTACAGTACAGCATTAAAGCTGCTGTGATTATCTGCATGGAGCAGCTGGCGTTTTTGTGATCACTATAAATTGCCTGGCTGCGATGGGAAAGGAGTGGTTAATTCAATGGACTGTTTCCCACTCTCATCTCATGGTAGTGTGCGCACTCCTGCAGCAGGCTGATGAAAGCAAATGGAGTAAGCAGCCTCGACTCCATGGGCAGCATCCGCATTCCTTTACTAACCCCTGGCCGTGTAGAATACGTAACTGACGCTGCTTCACTGTTCAGAGCGTACTGCGCGCGTATTTCAAAGACTGCAAGCCCTGTATTATGCGCTTGCGTTATCTCCTGCACGTCATGTACGAACATGTTTTTTTTCAAAACTGCGTGATGCCTGTACGATATGGATTCTCGAAGCCTTATTTTTCGCAAAAACAATGTATCTTGTGTTGTAATTACAGAGATACATGTACATGTACATCTATTTACAATGTAATAAAAATCCTTGCTCTATAACGTGACGTCAAAATCTCATGTTTGAAAGGATTGATTCTACAAAAAAAAATTCAAAATTTACAGCACCGAGTGGCGCTTGAAATGCATCGATCGACTGAAGTCCTAATTTAAATCTCCCAAATAGTGGGAGATTTAAGTTACACTTTCCAGGGGTTAAGATCGCGCAAGTCATGATGGGAACCAACATGGCGCAGCAAGATCGTACCTGTGGGGAACAAGGTTGCTGGGGTAACATGTGTCCTCTTGCCTGAAAATAATAACAAAGATTGAAATAAATCTCTTGCAACCCGATTAAATGTAACAGTTTTTTGTAAATTTCTATAAACTTTCTAAAAACTCTTAAAAAAGGTTGTCCACCTGAAACTCCAATTTTCTGTAGGAATTTTACCGAAAAGGTGCTGTTAATTTTGTTTATCTGAAGATGTTCCGCGTACCTTTAGTTTGTCAAATTGTGTGAATATTGTAAGAAAAGTCTTGAATTTGTAATCATTATAATGATCCATCTGAAGATACAGGCCAGGCCAGAAAAAAATACACCCACTTGAATCTAAAGATGCCCACTTAATATTTTTTAGTCAAATTGTTTGAAATGTTGACAGAGTAGTCCTAAGATAGTATTAGTTACCCATTCAAATAAAAAGTTCAAATTTTCCATGACATTAAATGGAACCAAACTACGTAGGTCTGTGAATTTGACCAAAATGATCCATGTGTTTATACATGTAACTTGCCTTGGAGGAAACATGGAATTGAAATGACTAAAACAAAAAATGACTGGATCACAACCGGACTGCACTGACCCTGTTTTCCTCTGTCCAGCCACTTGTGGCTACGTGCATGCCATGCTGACTCAATTATGAAATCAGTATTATTGAAGCAGGGTTCGGTCATTGCACACAGTGTCAGTGACAAAAATCCTGCAGACAACGGGGACGGTGATGATGATGAAGATGAAAAAACGCCCCAGGCTTTTGTCCAACACTGATTTGATCAGGGTCCCCGACCAGGAAATGCAGTCTCCTCAAATTGTTTCTCTCGCTGCATAAAAGCGACCTGTGCCCGCAGGGCGTACTGATGGTTACGAGAACGGGATCAGGGGCAGTACGCGTACGTGTCCACACAGTGCAGGCCAGTGCTCGATGACATGCTACGAATGCACAGTGCTGCGATAGTGAAATGCTTTGCTTTCGCTGCCGGGATATGAAGGAGGCATATGGGTGATGCTTTTGTCTAGGTGCAGTACGGCCTGTAGCAGTTGTTGCTTCACTGAAACGCAAACTCTTTTACTGCATTGTTATTCAGATTCTGAGCATAGTGTTTTAATTTTGCGAGATTTTTTCATGATTTGGTAGGCTGTTAAAACGTTGGGCTTTGACGTTTCTGGATCATCATTCTCAAAGCCCCAATTATTTAACTTGCTACATTGATTTAGTTTACTCAAATTAATGTTGCATATGCACCTTTCTTTTGGACGCAAGCATTGCCTTATGAAGGGATGGTAGTCGGTTTGTATGACTTAGAACTCTGGTTTGCATCTGCTTTTTCAAAAAAAAATGTTACTTAGACACGCCTTATCTTAAGACTTAAAAAGGTGTAGATGTTTATTAGTACGGACATAGGCTATTAAAGGGCATGTGAAAGCATTCACACTTTTTTCAAAGCCTGCAGGCTCAGTTGGTTTCTTTCACTATAGTCAGCACAGAATTTCATTGCAATGAAACCACAAACAGCAGCACCGTAGATTCAATCATTGATTTCTGGGGTTTTTTCCAGAGAACATCAGTGAAGGATTACCAGTAACTGTGTCCAGCAAAGTACATAATTCGTAGAAAAGTGTGACAAATTGAATATCTTTTGGGCAGTAACAAAGTTGCGATGGAAACCACTGTACAAAAAAAATCAATAATTGATGGATATTGAAAGTGCATTTGCGTGCAGACGCAAACCGCAATTTTTGAAGTAACAGAGAAGCCAAACCATATTGTTTCCTCTGAACAGGAGAGAAATTTGAGCTGGAGATGAATTAATTGTGCAGAACCGTCCCAGTTACAGTGGTGAATGCTTTAAAGTAGGCTGACTTAGTTTTCTTTGTCCGCTGATTCAAGGTTAAGAGATACCTGTATTCATTTGCAATTCTCCTCAAAAAGAAGTGCGACACTTGAGACGCTGTGGTACGTTAGAGAAGCTCTCTACACTGTCTTTCCCAAATGCCACCTAAGGCCGTTGCCATTGTGGCCCTCATGGCGACGCATCAGCTGCAACACGTGGCCAAGGGATTCGGTTTCTTCTCAGAGATTCTATTTAGTTGGGGGGGGGGGAGCTGAGATAAAAGTGCATAGAATATACACCGTCTGCATTGTCCTTGACTCAATAAGCAACCGTGGCATTTGCCTCTCTGAAGGATAAATGGATTTGGAATGAGAATCAAGGTATTGATGAATACCAAGGAATGCACGTGCGATCCTGCGTGAATGCGCGTGCTCTACGTGCGCGTGCCAGGGCTTAAGATTTCTGTAGGCACTCCGTTTTCATCCCAAGGGAACTGTTTCCCTACAGGATTCACGCTGACGTGATTTTATTGTGAATGAGGTGATTTTCTTGGAGGCACTCAGCACGTCTTCCGGTGGTTAAACTTGTACATGCGCGTCACACATACATTTGTATTTCATCTTAACAGCTGAAAATTTGATTTTGCCATGCTTTCTCTTTCTTATCTCTGCTCTGTGGAGTACCATTCCTGAAGTTGCCATTATTTTTTAGTTGCCTGACCCATCGCACATTTTCTGACTAATTTTTTAATGGCTTTCATCCTTTTTCCACTATCAAACATGAATTTTTTTGGAAATGTCGGAACAATCATAAAGTCTCACAGAATAATTACCTGCCCAACATAAGCAATATTTATATACAAGAACTTTACATACTGGTATTTGTTTATTAGGCTATGTTTTGAAAGTCGGTACATGCGCATGGAAATGTGAAAATGTAAACTGAGAACTTATTCTACATATTTTGTAATGATTTAATTGAAATCATGTACCCTTGGTGTAACTCATTTTTTGTTATTACATGCATTCGAGTACATGTACATTTTTTGTGGGGAGTAGGGCTACAATTCATTGAAACAAACGAAGACTTAATTGTTTAGGCAACCTTTCAGTTCAAGGATATTGATAAATGTATAAACTGCTAAAATAAAAATAACTTGTGTTACTACATTACAGTTGTTATTATTTTAATTTGTTTTATTTGTCTCTCAAGCTCTTGTTTTAATCTATGAATGAACTGTAAATACTGTTGAATCCCTAAGACTGTGCAATCATGTTTCTTAACATACCGGTAAAAGTACTTAACAGAAGTGTACCTAAGTTCAAAAAGTAAATTAAGAACAAGAAGTATTCTTGCAAGGGAGAAACAAAATCAGTCAATCATGAATGAAAAATCAAATTGTCCAAGAAACATTGATATGTAGGACTAGGTATTTGATTGCAACTTGGTTAGAAACTCAAAGGTAATATACAACATTTGCTTTTGCTGTAATTTTCAGAAATGGATGGAATTTGGGGTTGGTATTTTATACCAAATATTGTTACGCCTACCTGTTTAAGGTTTTGTGTTCATGGATGCTGGAAAACTCAAATCAAGGACAAAAATGCGATCTGGTTCCCTGACCCTACTTCAGACAAAACGGAGCAATTTGTAGACATCAGGGAATTGTTTGGTCAGGGAACCAGACTAGCTGGCTTGCACCCGTTCACGGATGTGTAACCGATTGCAAACAACATGTGGACTGACTAAAGTTGGTAAAGTGGGGGCAGTATTTGAGAAAAAGTCAGGTTTTTTTCCAACGATGGTCGGCTGACCATCGTTGGAAATTGATACAAATATTCCACTTTTCTTGAAAATGACAGCACTCTAGTTCCATGATTTCACAGGATGCTTGAGACTATAATTCACTTATACAGTCAAGTAGGGTATTTCATAATAATTTGGTAGTTTTGTTTTTTGATGTTCGCAAAGGTTGTTTATTGTCTTTAAAATTGAAGATTCTATAGGACCCATGCCTGCAGTTTTTATTCTGCCGAAATTGTTTTTCTTATCCATGGAGTTCTTATATTGTGTTTTTCAGATACTGGATCGTTCATTTTCCTATGCATTTTGACCTGGACCAGGGTCTGTCCGAGATCATGGGCCAGCTACAGAGCATCATTCAGGCCGAGGGGAACAGCCATCTCAAGCATGTCATAGACATCTCCAATGTGTGAGTATGCATTCCACAAAGAGTTTGTCGATTTCTCACTCTCATAGCTGCTCAATATTATGCGTGAAAGGCTAATTTGTAAGCATATTGTTGCGCAAAGTTTTCAAGGTCCGAATCTGTGGTATAAGGTACTTTTAGGACCCCTTTATTTTTTGGGTTGGCTAAACTTTTTAACTTCTTGCAAGGTGTTTGTGATTCCAAAATCATTTTGCAGCCTTATGCATTTTTTAAAATTTAGTTTGACCCCTTTTAAAATCATTTTGAACAGTACTTACTTTAGGGCAAAATGTGGCATACCTACCAGTATTAGCAGTTGAAGACATGCAGAGTGCAACATTCCCTGCTTGTCAGCCTGTGATGTTATGAGAGTAGCTGTCATTCTCGACCAATCAGAGATCGTGTTACAAAAAGCAAATTTTTTCACCAGCCATTCAGCAATGTGCTTTTAACTTGTTCGGCATTATCGCCATCTTCCTTTTCAAGTCGTGTGTTTTGTGGTTGTCATTGTGGTTTGCCCCAAAATAAAAACCCTACCTTCTTTCCACAAAATTAATCCGGCTGATATTGAGCGTGGTATCGCTGTCGATCAGTTGTAGATGAGTCCGAAAACATTAGAGTGGCACATTCGCCAGCTGTTCAGTCAGTTGAGATCAAACATAAGAATAAGTTTTCATTTTTTTATTATAAGTTATATAAAGAGCAGGGTCCTGAAAGTAAATTATGCCAAAATTCGCAAATACCGGTGTTCCTTGACTCATCTTGAAAAATCCCACTTTCATGCCTTGTCGCGGATTCCACCCTGTTCATGACAGATCACATTATTTATGTTGAAAGTGGACAACAAAGAAGAGCAAGGCACACAGGATCAGCTCTATATTAGCATCACCATTATACGTGCCGATGCATCACTTTGAACGGTCCCCACCCTCATGTGAATAACCAGGGGCCCAGTTGAACCATAAAAGCCTATGCAAATACCGTGATGTGTTTATACAGTGCCCGTGCGTTTGCTGTGGCGGTACATAGCCCATCCCTTCCCACTGAGTCCGTGCATATGAGACACGAGGGCCGTCCTTACTAGTGACTTGAAGCAGCTAGGAGCACACTCTAATCTGGACGGAGTGAGTGAAGTCGGCCGTTGCACTCAGGCACGCACCAATTGCAGGCCGCGCAGGGAGGTGTGGGTTCTCTCCAGGGGACTCTGGATCAATGGATTCCAGTGTCGCTGGATTGCCTCTATAGTGCTCATGCGTTAACCTAGATTCGAACACACATGCACAAACCCTTCGACGCCCTTTCGCTGAGCGGCAATTCCATGGCAACCTCGCCTGTGATTCCATGGCAACCTCATTGGTGGGTTTTCGTGAGAGGGGAATCCCCCTTCAGTCTGACCCAAAGAAATTTCACTATTTTCTTTCCTTTAAAGGCAGGAGTATATCATTTGCAGCTATCCAAAAAGTAACTGACAAAATTGTTGTTGAAAACATACTTAGTTTAAAGATAGTAATGACACTAAACTCCCTGCCAAATTATTCTTTCTGGCATACTGTTATATTGAAGAAAACAATAAAAGAAGGTCATTTCCAAAGATGCGTCTAAAAATGCATTTTTGGAAATTTCCGTTAGTAGTTCATTTTTAATTCAGCGAAGCCGTGAATGGGAGCGCGCAAGCATTGACACGACGCACAAGTGCGCGCGGTTGCTATAATTCGTCAGTTCAGTGCGTGACATAGCGTAGCTGCAATCGGTTGAATGAGATTGTGTCCCGGACGCTGATTACGGGCGCAATTCAAAACATGTCTCGGCAACTTTTGCATTGAAATCGAGATCCTAGAATATTGTTTTCTTGGAATATAAAGCATTCACTGAGCTAAAACTTCATCAGGTTAGTTTGTTAAGCACCTTTAGATTTGGAGCACTTTTGTTGCTTGAAACGAAAAAAATGCACAAATGACAAATGATATACTCTACCGGTACCTTTAGTTATAAAAAAAAATTGCAAATTTCGGACCATTAACAGCTTTAAGGATTTGATTTGATTAACAGTACTATCCCTGCCTCCTAGAAATTTCTGAACATCTGTATTCTTTCAGCTATGTATATCTTCTTCGAAAAAAATGTCTGAGCAGGAAATATTAATTAGCATAATTATGTGGTAAACAAACTCAGCATGGAATCAGTTACATGTAGTGTAAATCGCACAATAGTTTCTCTGGTTGCCTGGTTTTTATCATGCATTCTGTGCCGAGCATGTATCTGTGCTGGTGAGTTCAATGAAACTAAAAGCATCTGCCTGCCATTTTTTCAAAGGATAGGTTAAATCTATACCTGTAGCTTCATGTATAGGAACGGAACTCCATGCAAACTGAATTGAGCAAGAGTTTGTCCCCGGGATATTGTGCTTGGGTTCAGCAGCCTTATTGATGAAGGAGTTGAGGAGGAGATTGAGACCTATCTAGCCGAAGACTTGCTCTTAATTGATGCACGCGCCCCGTCCTGATTTGTAATTACACTGTATGAGGCCGCGCTTCACGGCTCAATTGCACTGGAGCGTACATGCCGGCGTGCATTTTGTATAAACACCACGTGCTGAGGGAGCGGTGTAATCATCCTCGCCTTGTCAGGATTGATAACGTCATCGCGGTGAACGTAATTTACTCCAAAGGTGCTCTTTTATTAACAAATTGCCTCTGTTTAAACAAACCGACCGGTTGGACCCTGAATATTTGTCGGACTGTAATTTGTTTCCTCTTTGTTTCTTTGTCCAACCGATGGTTGTTTATATAGTGGATTGCTATGGATATTATTGACGCATTGAGCCATTTGACAAAAGAAATTGGTGTTTTTTCCCCTGCAGTTGCAGAAAATGTTTTGTTTGTGCTTTTATGTGTAAGATGTAATGTAATTTTGTATGACTTAAACATCAGTTTTATAGATAATTAAGTATCCAATTCTGAATACATACATTGTATACTGAGGATATCATAAATTATAATAAAACTGAAAAATGTATTAAAGCACTGTAGAAACACGTCATCAAGCCGAAACCTTATCTTCTCCAATCCTTTGAAATCGTCCAAAACCTTGTTGTAAAGTTAAAAGACCAAGGAGGGTTAAGTTTAAATCATTTTGACGACTGTGATTTTTTTTTGTTTCTTCTTTTTGCCTATCCCTTCTACAGTCCAAGTTATGACTGGATGCGGGTCATCTCAGTCCGGAACCCGTCCATGCGGACCAATCGGAAGGTCTCATTGGTCTTCAATCACCTGGAGCCACGGGAGCTAGCCAATCACCTCACATTCCTTGAGTACAAGATCTTCCGGAGACTGAATGTAAGCCGGAGCGATGGTAGCAAAAGTGGGGAGGGGGAGCAAATCAGTCAGAAATTATATACACTATTTTTCTGGCCCTCACAATTACCCTAATTTTTGTTTTGAGTTAAGGTTTTGACAGAACCAAACTTTTGCTGCGGTTTATTGAAACTCAGATGTTTATATGTTGGGAGAATCCGGGCACGTGATCACTGTACACTCAATGGAGGCCCCCTTTAATGGCTAAGCATTGTGCAAGCTATTGTAGAGAGCAACTGCCCAAGGGTGGATCCAGGGGGAGGTGGCCAACGGGGGCCATGCCCCCCCCCCCAAAAAAAAACCCATTTTTTTTTTTTTGAGTGACGTCGCAATAAAGTTAAATTGGTTAAAGTGGTCAGAAATTGCCTCAGATTGCACCACAGAGCATCTAGAATCCAAAAAAAATTGGGGCCCCGAACCCCACGCCCTTATTTTTTGGACCCACTTTTTGGGGGACCAAATTTTTTTTGGCCCCACCCCCCCCCAAAAAAAATTGTGTTCCTCCGTGATCAAAGTGATCGCCTGCCCGCATTGGTCGATAGCCGGAGGGTTGGTTTGTTATCAACTTTTTTTGATAATCATTTAGGAAAGAATGTTGTATCCAGACGCCACTTCTTCGGTTGTGTACAAAGTCCATGGAGAGTCGATTGCATTTTCTGAAAGAATTGGAAATGTTTCTCAGTCCCAGATTCATGTCTTTTCAACATTTTTTTGCAATGATTGACCTTCATTGAGATAATTTATAGTGGAAACAGTGGCCTCAGGATGCAACATTCTTTCCAATCTTTTTATTTAGTCCCTCCTCCCTTCCCATGCACCACCTTAAAAAAAAGAGGGATTATAATTATTAATGAAAACCAGTTAAAAAGGACCTGTAGGCAAACTTTTTCAAAATGGTATCCATAAAGTATCAAACTGTATACATGTAGGTTTGTACAAATTTTTAGAATATAGATGTAAATCAGATTATCAGTATTTTTATGTTTGCAGCAATTTGAGTATAGACATATTTTTAAAAGTGGGAAAGTGGATATAAAGTTGAATTGAATTGAATGAAGGGTTTTTTATTGTTCGTACCATTCTCGCAGTCCGAAGACTGAATTGCGATGGTTTACAATTAACAGAAATCATTTAAAAAAAAACATTTATACATATGTTCGACATTAAAGTATTCTAAAAAGACCATTAATTTTTATGCATAATGTTAAAACATAGAAATATTCTAAAAAGACTCTTAGTTTGAAAATTATTAAAGTTTAAAGTTTGAAAATTATTTCTCATCTTTTCTTCAGTTTGCCGATTTGAAAAGTTACGCCCTGACTGGTCAGCTGAAAGACAACTTGAAATTGGAGCGCTCGATTGGCCTGTTCAATGGTCTATCGCTATGGATACAGTGCATGATACTCAGCAGGCACACCCCAAAACAAAGGGCAGAGGTCATCACAAAGTTCGTAGAGGTTTCCAAGGTATGTGAAAATCAAGATATTTTTAAGCCCTGGCAGGTGCTTCTACGTGTCACTTTCGTGGTTGGTGGGACAGTGGTCGGTCGGTAGGTCTATCCCCGGAAAATTGACCAAAAACGGGCCCCCAAAGTTTCCCATAAAATATAACTACCAACTGACCAAAAATTGACCAAATGCAATACCGTCATCATGTAAATGCACTCTTGGCGAAAGTTTTCAGAACACACCCCTTTGTCTCAATCGATGTGCATGCGCGTCTATTTTGCATATGAAGTGAGACATTCCGGAACCGGGCCAGAGCTTATTGTGCACTCGCGCTTGTTTTAACAAAAATGGAAGAAGATTTTAGTCAATGGGGCCCTTTCAGAGAAAAATGATTTGAATATTCCAAAGTGGTTTATAATATTCAATATTGCTTTTGAATATTCAATTGATGACTGGAAAATGAGATGTTTACATTTTTATTTCGTTTAAAACTTATGGCCCTGCATGTGTATGTGGACATGCAAGAACCTGGAATGGTTTCGATTACCTGTCGATAGAGTGGACGTTTTTCATTTTGGGTGAAAGAATGGAATGTTCCATGTACACAAAAGAAACAAAGATTACTTTAGATTCTGTCAAGTTGGCTTGGAGTTGTTGAACATTGTTTTATCGATCGATATCTGAGACAGGCTTGAAGGGCCGATATCGCATATCTTGTAGTGTCAACCAACTCCCTCTGTACTACAGGGTTTAGTGACCCTATGTCAATCATTGGAAGGGAATGTAGCATTAGAATTTTATCATCATTTTTAGGAGCGTTGTGTCGCTATCTAAGGTTGGTCCTAGTCCAAATGATAACAGGCCTGGGACGTGAGCCAGAATTGTGTTAAAATTCCAGGCTTATTGACGCAGGTCTGAAAGATCCTATTTGATAGTGACGACCCATTTTCATCAGGGGTCAACTTTATTGACCATTTTTACCACATGAAGATAACTTGCGATTTTTAAAAGGCCCATGCAATGTAATTTTTATAATGCAATCCTGAAGAATGCATCTTCATGTCCCATTTAACCTTTATTTCAAATTTCGTTTTTCCATTTTGAAGGGTAGTTTGGTGCCTTTTTTATTTTTATGTTAATGGAATTTCCATGTTCATGAGCAAAACTGTGATGTCATTTCAGGCAGAAAGCTCCATGTTACAGCTATTTCAGCACCAAAGGTTGCCAAAATTTTGGATATTTTGCTGTCGTGAAATTTCTTTCCTTTGTTGATTTGTTGTATAAGTGTCAGTGCATGGCAGTAAGCCAGTGAGCAAACGTTTCTCACAAATGTTTTCAATGAGCAAATTTTGGGGTTCACATTTTTTGAACAGAATACCCCTAAACTGAACCGTGTCTTCCTGAAATGACGTGACAGCAACAGCGCCCTCAGTTGTCCGGAACAGCATACTTTTTTTAACTGTTTTAAATAAAGAAGTGCACTTTTCAAGAAAACTAACCAAAAAAAGGGATGTCACATAGTTTTTTTATACATTTAAGAGAATAGAAAGTTGCACACAATGTGTTACTCAGAAAAATCCTCTCATGGAAACTTCAAAGCAATGAAGTGAAACTACATACAAAACTACAACCTTTCCCCCTCAAAATTTATGAAAGTTAAAGTGTTCATGTCGTTTTCTTCTTCGGGATTGCCTGGAACCAGTTGTTTGTATATTTCCTGGTATGGCACGGCCCTTATAGATGTATTTTTTTATGAATTAAACTAAAGTAAATTTCAGCTGCTAAGTTGCTTAAAATCAAATCTTGAAAAGTGGAGAATGAGCGGGAATAGTTATCCACAATTCTCAAGCCTCACTGCAGCCTTTCCTATCATTTATGAAGATATTTATTATAAAAACATAGCAGCTCCATAGTTCTGCATCCTTTCAAACATTTGTTTTGTTGTCTCTCCCTAAAACCCAACAGAGATTAAGACGACTGAATAATTTCAACACTTTGATGGCGGTGGTGGGAGGACTCAGTCACAGCTCGTTAGCCAGACTCAGGCAGACGCTGGCCTACGTCTCATCAGACACTCAAAAGGTATGTCTACTGTCTCGGGAAGTGCTCCCATTTTGTTTAAAGTGCATTTGGGGAACATGATTCAATGAGAGCCACAACTTTCACATATACCACGTATCTGCCAAGATTCCAAATTTCTGAGCACTGAACTTTTGGGCGAGATAATTTGGATCAATGACAAGCTATGAAAATTTACCATGGCAAAGGCGTTAGTTGTTCATTTGCTGTTCCTAGTAATCTGACGAACAATTTTACTGTTTTGACTTGAGTACAATTCTCTGATGGGATTGTGCTGGGGTTGATATTATTGGTTATCCCACGAGCCCGAATGGCACACAGGATAATGTAGTCATCTGTGTCCCTTAGGCTTTGTGGTATGTGGAACACAGACGCATTATATTTCCGTGTTCAACGAGCGCGAATGGGACAACAAATTAACCTTCAAGCAAACTTGATGCACAGTGAAGATGGAACACGCACGCTGTACACAAACTTTTCAGCGGTTATCCTTTATACATGCGTGTTGTACGGAATGGTATGTGCATATCAGAATAGCGCATTATGTGGAGTGCGGTATGGACCGTGGCCATAGCAGGGGGGGGGGGTGTTTCAACCTCAAAACCCCCCCTCTGGATCTGCGCCTGGGTGTGCGCATTGCACCTATTGTTCCCAAGTGCTAGCACTACAGAGCTGGGTTCAAACATTTCGTGAAGGGGTGGTTTAGAAAAATTCAAGGAAATTTTCAAGTAATTTCCAATTTAATAAAAATAAAAATAAAAATTTTCATTGTGATAAATTAATCAGTTTTCTCTGAAAATCAAGCAGAATCTGTGGGAGAGGTGTTATAAAACAAATATTGACTTCTTTAACTCGTGGTTTAGTAAAACTAGCTTCCTGGGTTGATCCATGGAGCATTCTATTTTCCCTCGGCTTCGCCTTGGGAAAAAGAATGTTTCATGGATCAACCCAGGAGGCTAGTTTCGCTTCGGGAAAATGGAATGCTCCGTGGAACACCTCGGGAGGCTAGTTTTACTACACCACTCGAAGCAGTCAATATTTGTATACTATATCATGAAATCAAGACACCAGGCCAATATTGATCCCAATGAAGATTGCTTCATAAGCAAAGCATTGCCATACTGATTCGACTTATGTAAAATTTGGTATTTTTGTTGTTTGAACAGACGATATCAGAAATGACAGAACTCCTTTCTTCAGCTTGCAACTTCAGTAACTATCGTAAAGCCCTGCAGGAAGCAAGGGGCTTCAAAATCCCAATTCTGTAAGCAATCCTTTTCTTTGTGTCTTCTTGTCTGTCTGTCTTGAGACAAATTGAACTTTAATTCTACAATATAAGTTTCAGGGATATTATGGAACAAAAATGCAAATGCGTAGCGCACACCGAACAAACTGTCAAAAATCTTCACATTTAGATTGTGTGTGCAAATTTGTCAACTGTCAAAAATATTGACCGGTATGGGAATTAAGGTCATGGGGCAAGAATTCTTGCTATCTTGGCATTTGCTGATAAGAAATAAGATTGTTGCAGAGGAATTTGTAATCATCAGAATGGGGGTGTGCTTATTTATTTTATCTCTGACTTTAGTAGATTGTACATGTACATGTACATGTAGTTTTAATCTTGAACCCCTGTACACACTTCTTCTCTAATAGGGAAATATGAAGGTATGGTGTATCCTGAAGAAACAGTCTTCATGTTTGGTTTTACATTGTATGTGCAAATGAATCGTGGTAGTATAAATGATAAGAACAATGCACCACAGCCAATTAACTGACATTGATTGATTCCCCTTGTTTTTTTTATTCCATTCTTGGCTCTTATTCATGATTCGGGCAACAGCTATTTTCCAAACTGAAACCACACCAAGAATTCCTTTCTAATGTGTTGCCCATACACTGTTTCCCCTAACACTGTCAGTACACAGTTTCTGAACATGATGGAGTGCCTAATGCTAAAATAGTCAACATTAGCTTCTTAGAACTACATTTGTGGTTTTCAAGCAATAGTCACTTCATTTCTAGCAGTAGACACTCCAAATTGGTATCTGCAAACTTTTCGCTTTTCTTGACCAATTTACCTTAACAATTCCCTTGTTTCAACTGATATTCTCTCTGTTTATTTCTCTCTTTTCCCCCACTTTTCTCTTCTTCTGGCTTTCACCTGGCAGAGGTAAGCAATCTTAATTCTATTCTGCCTGATACTTTGGTAGTTGTGTCACGTTTGTGTAGATTGTATCAGGTTGTAATTATAATCATGTTTGGCTCATGTGTTGCATGTATCTCAGAGGGTGTTCTTTATTATTTTAATCTAGTATTCATAAATACCTGAGAGAGTTTACCCATTCATATTGGTCGAGAGCTTGTCACGTGGGTGGTTTTAAACGATTAATTAAACACTGACTTGCTGGTTTTCCGGTGTCATATGAAATTTGGACTTTGGTCCCTTTTGCCCTTTTTGTTAAAAGTTCACAATCTTCACTTGGGCATGCGCAATACTACTACTGAGTCATTTCATAGAGTCCATAATTCACACTACACCGGCACGCGTGCCAACCTCCATATAAGGAGATTTTTAGTACTACTCGCGAGAGACACATACCGGTACCATAAACATAGCTAGAGGGGTGTTTAAAAAAAACTGTTGAACAAAATCGTTGGAAATTTAAAATTTTTAATTTGTTTAGACTTTTTGACCGAAGGATATTTATGAATGGGAATAAATATGTGATCGGCCAGTATTAAACAAATATGTGTAAAACCAACTGGGGCGTGGTCGGCGATAATGTCCCTCACCTAGCTTCGGCTCAGGCCATTATAAGCGTACAGGCCCCAAGCTGGTTTTAAATGTGCTTGTTTATAAACTGGCCAAGCACATATTTATTCCCATAACAATGCATGCACAAAAGGTTTATTTATGCATATCCAAGCAATGAAAACCGTTGCCCTATGACTCTGCCTTGGGGCACAAGGTCTTTCTATGAATTGGACTGAAAAGCAAGCAAGCATTATCTTTGTGTTGTCAAAAATTGGTCAAAATGTGAAATAGACTCCCCATACCCTGTGAGGCAAACAATGATGTAGTACTTGTTGGAATTTTTTTGCCAGGAGATGTACATTTTAATCATTTTGTGATGGGCATAAATCAAGTGTTAACAAAACTGAAACATTTGGCGATGTACGATATACTGTCCATAAATACACACATGCATTTTTCTCAGTATATTGCAACCCCGATATATATATATTTTTTTCTTTACTTTTGCAACAAGAAAATATTACTTTGTATTTTTTTTCAGACATTTGTTTCTGCATGCATAAATTCAAGATAACATTGCAAAGAGCCATTGATTGAGCAAAAACCAAGACCTGCTGCAACAGCTGTTAGAATCTTTGATGCTGGAAAAATCGAAGCCACAAGAAGTAAAAAAAACCCCAATAATTTAGAACAATAAATCGGCTTGCTTTTAACCGGGTTGCATTTTGAGCTGATATATCTTGCTTAATTGATTCCCATCCAGGTGTTCATCTTAAGGACCTGATCCTGTTGCACACAGCCCTCCCAGACCGCGTGGAGCCAGATGGCCAGATCAACCTGCGCAAGATGGCCCAGCTGGCTGTCATCTTTGGGGAACTGATGCAGCTACAGAACACCAAACCCCCACTGGAGACCAACATGGATCTGGTCAATATGTTGCGGGTCAGTTGACACAGTTACGGGTTTCTGCCATGGATATACATGGGCAAGTTCGCGCAAGACCTATTGTTGACCATTGGTTAACCATAGTTCGACTAAAGTTAGCCTGAACACTATCTAGTCGACGCTATTTGGAACCAACCTACTGGGGCTGGTTGCATCACTGGTAAACAATAGCTGCGCGCATTCATAACGTACAGCAGGGAGCCAGGATGCGATGACATTTTGACCAGCGTTTGACTAGAAACGTTCACACGTTGCTATTAGTGCGCAGGCGTAAGGTACGTCACAAATCAACCACTAGTCGTCTAATGGTCCAATGGTCCTTGCCCGAACTTGGCCCATGCTGTTGCCCTGGTTGATGGTTGTTGCTTTGGTTGCATGTTGTTGCCATGGTTACATGTTGTTGCCATGGAAATGTCTTCTAGTTTCCTATGACTCAACACATGGTGGTGGTGGGATGGGGTTACGTAGCTTTGTCATGGATATCTTCTTTGCAATCATCACATCATTTTTTATACGGCTTTATGAAGCCGTATCCTCTCTAAGTGATCTCCGTTTGCTATTTACCAGGTCTGCATTGGGAATTTGGACAAGATCCCTGGCTGCATGGCATTTACTGGTTTATGGCTTCTCACTAGCGCCCCTTGAACAAAGATATTGACAAACTGGGGAACCGCCAACATAGGGCTGGATAGCTCAGTTGGTATAGCACAGGAACGGTTATCCGGAGATTGTAGGTTCAAACCCCGCTCCAGTCAATTTCTTTGTTCAACTTTTCAAAAAAAGATTAGGTAATGTTTGAATGAATGAATTGTTTCATAATAAACTGATGACCTTTTTGGACCTTTCATTGTAGGCATCACTAGATTTACAGTACACCGAGGATGAGATCTATGAGTTGTCATTAGCACGGGAGCCCAGAAATTCAACAAGTGCGGTAAGTAACGAGACAGCTCTCAAATGTTAGATACATGGAAATTGCACTTTCGACAAATAATGTCTAGATGACTGAGTTTGATACCATGAAATGTTAATGGTTGTATAAATCAATTTTGTTGTGTTAATTCATTAACAATGGATGCACAAGAGGTCAACTCATAATTTTGTCCCTATTGAATAAAGGCACCCAACGCAAAGCCTTCTTCAGTGCAAATGATCTGTAGAGAGACCATGTGGTTTCTTGTTTTTAGTTTCTTCGTTTTACAGTGTTGATTTGTAACCAGAGGCTAAAAAATTGCACTGAATTCGTTTAGAATGTGAATTGTAAACCATTCTCTCTTAGATGTTCAAGGTCATATAATAAATATTTAATGCCAACTTAAATGGTACCTTATGTAATATATTCTATGTGTCTCTGCCCTTCGAACTTTGTATGGCGATCCTACTGTAGCCCATTAATCAGAACTTTAACTAGTGAAGGTTTGCAGTAACATGTAGAAATCTCATTAGGGAGGATGTGTGGTTCAGAAAAGAACCGGTTCTTCAGGAGACGACCAACCGGTTCTTTTCAGAAACCCACATCCTCCCAAAAGATTTCACCATGGTGTTACCACAACCTTCACTAGTTCATACCACCACTATGCAAAGTTTCAAATTTAACTTTGTTTAATGCTTAGAAATATAAATATTTTTCTGCAACATTTTGTCTGTTTTGTGTAATGGCATGCCTGATACAAGCTATGCTTTCCAGGTTTTGCCACCTCTACTGGCCTTTATATCTCAAGTAATACTTGTTTTCTTCATTTTTGCCATTAAGAGGAAATAAATGTGTTCGTGAATAAGTAAGATTTGAGGCTTTGCATGGTGGAGATACTAAATAATGAAAGGTTTGCGGAAACACCATGTGCGAATGGTTCTGAAAAGAACCAGAGGTATAAACTCGACGTTCCGGTCAGTATGCTCTGACCGTCTTCAGGAGAGTGCCTAAACTCTAAGAAAGTGAATACTTAAGTAGCAAAAGGCAAAGTCAATGAAGTGTGAAGTTGCATCCTGTGAGGATGCCAAGTAGACAGGATCCTAGAACAAGCTTGATGCCCACTGAAGTGGAACAGTAGGGTTGCAGTGTCAGTAGAGGGAGGACCTAGGGTATAGGAGACCCATCAGTCTAAGGTGTTCGTGAATGTTCTGTAGGGGAATACAATTTTGAGTAAAAAGCATTTACTGTTTGATTCATGAGAGGGTTCTGCTACAGGCACTCAGAAATAGTCAACTTCCTACCTTGAAGGCAAGGCAAGTGCTCTTTTGGTACAGTGTACTTTGAATTGTTCCTGCTCCTTGTGTGCTCTACAGCCATCTACTCCTACTAAGCCTGCAGTGTATGCTGACTGGGCATCTGGAGTATGTGTCCATCCAGATCAAGAGACAATCACCAAACATGTATCAGCCATGGTGGAGGTAAAACAAAAGTCTCCCTAGAAAATGTCAGCTCATTGTGTGCACGATAAAATCTATGTGCTAACAGCTAGCCGCTTTTACAACACCTCATAAAAAAGGCACAGTGTTTAGAACAGTGCTGTACCACTGCCGTTCTGAACGACGATAGCGCGGCAGCCCTGTCGAGCCAAAGGATGGTTCCGTGCCGAACCCAAATTGCTGAGCCAAGTGGTTCTAAACGCCGTACTATCGCCTTGCCAAATTTTAAAAAGTCAAATTAATTGAGTTCGGCACGGCAGTAGCACGGCGTCTAGAACAGGCCATTCTCTCTTAATGGAAGTATATTGTGTGAGACATGATCACAAGGGCTTAAATTCATGAATGGGGCTCTTATCTTCGGGCAATTGCAAATCCCCCTACAAAATGCCCAGCAGACCAGAACTGCAGTGAAACTGTTTTGTTGATTGATTTTGCAGACGGTGTTTAAGATCTATGACACAGATAGGGATGGTTACATCACCCGTGATGACTTCCAGGGCATTGCCACAAACTTCCCTTTTATGGAGTCCTTCTGCGTGCTGAATGCAGACAGGTTAGTCCTCGGTTAACTTTGTTTTTCAGTTTGATGCAAACATGGTGGAGGTATTATGACAAGTTTTGTCGCAATCCGAGGGATTGTGGATATTTGGATGGAAATGAGGTAAGCACATTGTGCATATTTTGAGCAGTTTGGTAGCAAAAAAAGTACAGGTAAGTGCTATGCTCTGCCCAAAAGAGTTCTAATGAGTGGTTATAAAGCACCTGTAATTCTTGCACGAGAGTCCATACTCCAAAATCACGTCAAAATAAGTTCATGTAACCCTGCGTGTACGGGGCAAGCAATATGATCCACAGCATCAAGACATTTTGTATTAAAATAGAATAGTTTGTTAATCGCAACCATGCTCACTTCACCCATGACGCGATGGCGATTCACACGAAAATTAGATGATCCACATGCGCGCACAATGTTGTAACTTAACACAGGTTGACTGCCATTGATTTCTGCCTTTCGGGAACACGTTCCGTTGCTGCGCAGAAATTAAAATTGTTCTACTCTTTTGACTGTTGATGTTTTTTGGTGCTGATGTCAATCATTCTAATATCGTCGCAGTTACATTCAAGTCGCAAAAATTCGGCGACGGTTGTAGCCGTAGGTGCAGTTCTGAAAAGTCAGTCGCTGACTGTTCTGTGTCTTCAAAATGCTGACCTCAGGGTGGCTTTTTGAACCGACTTGTGAACTGACTTATGAACTGACTTGTGACTGACTTGTGTTTGACTGGTGCTTGACCGGTGAATGACTCCTTACCGATCTATTTGGTTGGTTTTTGCCCTCCCACAGAGAGGGCCTGATAAGTCGGAGTGAGATGTGCTCCTACTTCATGCGTGCCCACAGCCTAGCTCTCAGCTACACCTACAAGCACAACTTCAGCGTGCACACCTACCTGACTCCCACCTTCTGTCAGCACTGCACGGGCCTGCTCTGGGGCCTGATCAAGCAAGGGGTCAAGTGCAAAGTCTGCGGCATCAACGCCCACAAGCACTGCAAGGACCGACTGGTCATCGAGTGCCGCAGCAAAAAGACCACTAGTAACGGTCTGAACGGCATCACGTCTACCATGCAGCGCCGGCACACACTGGATGGGTCGGTGAATGCCATGAAGTCTGGCGGTCAAGCCAATGGGGTGGTGGTCAACCGGCGCAAGCACAGCCACGATAAAGGGCACAGTCAAAGTACTAGTCAGCTGAACAGAGGTATGTATGCACTGTATACAGTCTTATGCGACTGATCCGTCAGGCCTGCTCAGTCCACACGTGGGCAACTCACACTTGCACCTCTCCAATGCCAAACTGCATGTTCCACCTGTGGCCATCACACACACTTTCGTGCATACAGTCGTGTTTACTATACTCTCGAGGACAATGCTTTGTGTTTTCCTTTGTCCCTGTAATGTAATACTCTCCCATAGACTAAGCACACAAACTTACTACAGAGGACCGTTTCCAACAAAAGACCCAACTCCCGAGGACCGAAAGGATCTGTTGTTTCCCTTTGTGTGTCGGTCCTCGAGGGTAATGTAGAACACGTACATGCCCGCATGTTGGATATTAAAAGTAAAGTACGTCATTGTCAATTGTGCATTTTCTCGTTTGAAGTGACAAAAGTGCTCAAAATCTAAAGAATGTGCTTGACAACTAACCTGATGAAGTTTTTAGTTCAGTGAAGGCTGTATATTCCAAAAAGAAAAAATATTCTTGGATCTCGATTTCAAATCAGTAGTTGCAGGTCATGTTTTGAACTGTGCCCGAAATCAGCGTCCGAGACACGTTCTCATTCAACCAATAGCAGCTACGCGATGTCACGCACTGAACCGACAAATTATAGCAACGCGCGCACATGTGTGTCGTGTCAATGCTTGCACGCACCCATTCACGGCTTTGCCGAATTAAAAGCAAACTACTAACGGAAATTTCCAAAAACGCATCTTTAGACACAGCTTTGGAAATGACCTTCTTTTATTGTTTTCTTCAAAATGACAGCATGCCAGAAAGAATCATTTCACAGGGAGTTTGGTGCCATTACTATCTTTAAACCAAGTATGCTTTTCAACAATAATGTTGTCAGTTACTTTTTGGATAGCTGCAAATGATGTACTCTACCTTTAATCATGGTTTTGATCAAAACACAATTGGGCAGGGTTTGATGGACGGTCAATACAGGAGGACCCCCAAGAGGTTGGCTCAAAGAAGCCATTTTGCAAAAAGGACTCAGTAGTTTTTTTATGTTTTTGTTTGTGTTTTTGTGGTAGCTTGTGATTTTGAAATTGTTTTTGTGGCAAACGTGGCACACGTGAACAACAATGTACAGGTGAATAACAGCAGGATGACATAGTCAGGATTTCACCCTCTTTCAATGCAATCATGCAGAATTAAATAATTCAGCAGATAAGTATGTAAAAATGGATACACATTTTATGCTCAGGTTTAGTGAGCTATGCCCAATATTGGAAAGTGAGTTGCTTATATTGTCACAAATCGTCACAAGACAACACAAACTGATGACCCATCAAGTGCACTCACTGTAACATGTGAAAGTTATCTAAAGCTTTAAACCTTGATATCATGACTGCATTACATTTATATTTCCATCTGTTTACCTCCTCCAGTATCAATCTCCAAAGATATTGTTTGGGAGGATCAGCAGCGGCTGAGCCAATGCCCAAAGCAGATGAGGCAGGTACAGCAATCTACTCAGACCGACGAGGCAGCAGCAGCGGCAGCAGCAGCAGCAGCAGCAGCAGCAACCGGCCACCCAGAGACAGCATCCCAAGACTCGGACAAAGACAGCGACGACCACGGTGGTATCATCTGCAGCGGCCGTCGTCTGAGTGAACTGAGCGAGGATGACAGCAGTAGCAGCTTCGGGGATCAGAACAGCGCGACGGGCAGCGATTCCAGCGTGTTCAAGGGCAGCCCGGCCGCGGCTCCTCGGAACGGGGAGTTGAGGGACAAGCTGATGACTGCTGAAAGGGTAAGTCATACATCTACTAAAACATACACAAATGTTATGGTGGGGTAAGCTGCCTCTCAATATATTTTTCCTACTCAGTTCGGAACCTGCCTTTTCTAGTGCCTTCTTCAAGGAGATAAGCCATGATGCCATCATGTTTCTTCTGTGAAAATATTACCACAAATTCTTGCTCAAACAAAACATGTCACAGCAATCGGCCAAAAAAGTGTGCTCTGAAGAACTAGCCATTAGCTTGCCTATTCTCTGTTTCTGTTGTGTCCTTGTACTACTCATCCACCAGTCTAAGTATGTCCGGCATGGATCATAATTTGCGCCAAGTCCATGGTAGAGCTAGCTTCATCAACTGGTGGGCATTGAAGTGTATATGCAGTATTGTTTGAAGTTTTGTTCCAAACTCACAGGTTTTTGTGCTAAGGGGATCAGGTTAGCGCAGCGGTACTTTCCCCGCCTTCTACCACTGTGACCCAGGTTTGAATCCCCCTGGGCCAATATATGGATTGGGTTTTCAGTCCCTGCCTGATTCCGTGGGTTTCCCTAGAATAGTATTCTGGGGTTTTCCTCCCACCACCTATACCCACTGGAAATAAGTCGAAATTCTTTCGTGGACTATCCCGGCCAATTGCCGAATAATCACAATGTAGAAACATTAGTTTGATATTGACAGTTCTGGGCAACTAACACCAGTTCGAGGCAGTTGAGGTATTACCATCTTAGCTACCATTCCCTCAGCTTTAGCAATACATGTATTGCTAGAGAGCCCGGGACTCCGCCACTCATACGCCTGACGATCCTTAGGGTGAAACAGCCTGTAGCGTATCGTGTGCGTAGCACACTAAGTGACAGAAATGGTGTAACTTTACCTGTCTCTCTCCATACTACATATTAAATTATATATATTGAAAATTTGCACATCAGTTTCCATTCATAGGCACGTCTGAATTGCTACAAAATGTCATGCACATTTCAGTCAATGGTCCCAAACAAGATAGTTTTGGGTTCATAGTGTTCACCCATAACTAGCTCTAGTATATCTGGCAGATTTTTTAACACATGGAACTGTTTGCCTGAAGACTTTTTAATGATCTTCCTCTGCAGGAACGAGAGATGCTTGCAGCTGAGAACTACCGCCTGAAGAATGAAGTGAGCAGCATCCGGGAGAAGAACAAGATGCTGGAGAGTCACCTGGAGCTGATCCGACGACACACTGTCACCTTCATCCTGGACCAGATGGACACGCTGCACCTTCAGAAAGACACCCAGGTCTAAATAGGTGCCACACAGGTTTGTTGGCATAAAAAGTCCTCAAAAGGTACACAAAAAGTGCATTGGTGCTTGGAATATTAAACAAATAAATATGACACCTCAACTGCAAAACTTCTGTCAGTTTTACCCTGGATCAGATGGACACCGTGCTCCTTCAGAAAAACATGCAGGTCTATAAATAGGTGCCACACAGGTGTGTGTCGTCATCTTGAAATATAATAGAAAACTGCATACTGGCCCTGGAAGTTACACACAAGGTGCAGAGATGTGGGTGCTTAAAATATGAAAGAAAACTACCCAATTGCTGTGGTACACACTTCTTAACCACTTTGCGCCAAGTTTATTTTTGCCGAAAATTTCGAAATTTTCAAAAAGCAAAATTTCCCAGCCAACTTCTTATATACAGCCAAACGCCACAATAAATGATTCCCAAGAGGATTTCAACATTATTTGTACGATATTTCTTGCCGAAACCTCATATAGTTCAATACTCCAGGGTGTGCACTGGAGCGTAAATTGTAGAACAATAGGCCGTGCACAACGGCCCACACAACGGTCAGTACGCAGTCCGCCTCCACAGACAACACGGACTTTGTGTGTGTGTACAACAGGCACGAGGGATTAGCGTGTTTAGATGTCACCCGGAGGCGAGTTGAGGCAATCTTGACGTCTTAATCCGTCAGCCGTGCCTGGGTACAGAAAAAAGAGCCAGTGCATGTTATCACGGCCTCCGGCGCGAACTGGTTAGGGATTCTCGTAAGATGTGTCAATGCTGAAACTGCCTGTTAGCTGAAGGACCTAAAACCCCTTGCAAGTTTGACACAAATTGTAGTGGATTGGTGCTAGAAATATAGAAGGGAACTAATACAACATTATACCAGGCAGAGGAGATGCTTGTAGAAGTGAGTTCCAGAAAGTGTGTTGGTGTTCGATACGTGAAAATAGAACTCCATACTGGCTAAAATATGGTACACGCAAGGTTCATTGGTGCTAGAAATGTAAAAGAAATTGAATGTGACATGATATATAGCTGCTAAAGAAAACAAAATGGTTGCAAGAGACAAGAGGTGATTTGCTGTAATGCTTGGAGTACCGGTATAGAAATGGTAGCCCCACTTAGATTTTAAAAAATGGCATTTATTCATTCCAATTATGCCTTCAAGCCGGTTACATGGAGTTGGGTGCCACAAGTGTTGTTTGCTCATAAGTGATGTGCACTTGTGTGGTGTGTATTGTGTAAATTTGTGAATGCATGGTGGTGTTAGTGGCCGGTGCACTTTACAGTGAGTGGAACAATATGAATGATACAAATTGAATCCAGTTGTATTCACTGTTGCAATTGTTGGGCGTCAAGAATGGTGCAATAGAATATTTGGAAGTATGCTTTGGTCTGAGTATGCATTTGTTATAGAGAGACCCACAAAGTCCCACTGTATGCTGTAAGTCTGTGACCAACAGGTGTTGTTACTGTCCAACATGCGTGCACAAATCTTCGGGTGCGTAAAAGAAGGTCGTCAGGGCGAAAAATGGGTCAAAAGGTCAAATTCTGGTTTTTCGGGGTAACAGATAGAGCGTGGAAATATCTTTCATTTGGTATACATTTTGTCGCAAGGGGCTACGTCATTCTGACGTAATTAACAATCTGAAAAAGATGTTTTTCATTATTTTCCCCCGTTAAAGGGACGTCAGCGTGAAATACTAATGTAACAAAATAAATGCGCTAACGTCCAAGTGAAGTGGGTAGGTAAAGCCCGACAAAACGACGTTAAGATTTCACATACCGCTTAAGTGCACGTATAAGGCAGGGGGAGTTCTCGGTAAGGTCGTTAGCATAAAAATGCTAATACATGTAACTTCAAAATTGAGTAATATTGTGAAATGAAAAATGCACAATATTATTCCAATTATTAACAAATTTTATGAGTCCAAATTTCAACGCCATAATGAATTTCAATGTATGTTTTTTATATACAAATGACAATAAAGAATTCTATTCTATTCTAACCTTGTGTTATTTTAAATTTAGAAATGGCAGCACAAAACTCCAAACGTGTTTTTTGCGTGTCTGGGCTGCTGACATCCTTTTTCTTGGAACACAACGAAAAGTTGAACACCTGTGTATTTGCAAATGATGTGTTTTTGAATATCAGTGTGGCATTTGAGAGGCACGTGCGTTGTTGCCAGTATAAGTGCACATTGGATGAGGTGTAATGGATCAGTTGATTTGTTATGCGCTGAAAATCAATGTGGCATGTTGTCATGGCAACAATAAATTCACGGATTGGATTAAAGATATAGTCCATCATTTGTAATTTGTGCATTTTGTTCGTTTGAAGCAACAAAAGTGCTCAAAATCTAAAGAAGGGTACTGAACAACTAACCTGATGAAGTTTCAGCTCAGCTTCAGCTGTATATTCCGAGAAAAACAACATTCTAGGATCTCAATTTCAAATCAAAAGTTGCTGAATCATGTTTTGAATTTGGCCTGAATTCAGCGTCCGAGACACATTCTCACTCGTACGCGACCCAACTCGTACGTGTGAGTATAGACTAGCGTAAGGATATAAGGTTTGGACTTCGAATTTTTTTCAGCAACTTTATTCCTTTTGTCACTTTTGTGCAGCACTGATCTGACGCGCGTGCGTGTGCGTCGTGTCAACGCTTCGCCAATTAAAAAACGAACTACTAACGGAAATTTCCAACGGTGCATCTTAAGACGCACCGTTTGAATGGTCTTCTTTCATTAATTACTTCAAAATGACGGCTTGCCAGAAAGAATAATTTCACAGGGAGTTTAGTCCCCTTACTATCTTCCAACCAAGTATGTTTTTCAACAATAATTACGCCAGTTACTTTTCGGATAGCTGCAAATGATGGACTATAGCTTTAATCCAGGACTGTGCAGAGTGTGGGTTGTATTCAGAGAGGAAATATCTTGTGTGTTTTTGTTTTTTTAATTAATATTGCTGAATAATGTGTTGCGGTAAAAAAGAGAGAGACACATGTATAGGAAGTTAACTGTGCGTTAATGTTGAGATGGGGTCAGTATGGAACAGAATACGAAATGTCTTGTGATCCTTTTCAATTGTGACAAGCATGTAATGTGTGCTGAAGTTGCATAATGACACTAAAGTCAGGTGTGAGTGTTTCAATGAGTGATGTTTGCGAGACGTGTATTGCTACTTTGAGAGGTAGACATGTGCATCCCAAGCAACTTTGCCAAGGAATGCACTTGTGATGAGCATGTGCCAATGGCTGCTGTGGAGCTCAAGTGACCATCATCTTGTCCTCTTCTTCACTATTGAGGGGGTACTTGTGCATAATTGGATAATGGTGTATGTTGTAGTTGTAATGAGCACTTGTGTGTTGAGAACAAAAATAGAAATGAGCCCTTTGCAATTTCAGTGTGGGCCACAGAGCATACAGTGTAAATTTAATGTTTACAGAAAACGCCTCTTTGACCGTGACTTAATTTATCAGAATAAGACATAGTTTGCCTACCCCAGATAAGCAATCTCTGTGTCATTTTGTCAATGATCTCAATGACAGAAAGAGGCGTTTTTGATTTGACACATTACTGGGAAAAAAATACTCCAAAATGTTCTATCTTTTGTACTCATCATTGTTTTCAGAATTATTTGAAGCATTTATTTTTCTTATTTCTTTTCCTGAAAACTTTGTTTGGCAAATTTGTGCCCTGATGAGGGGAAGACAGCTGAGTCTTTGAAAATGTGATTTGTCCGATATGGTAAGGTGCTATACTGTGATGAAACGGTGACGTGCGAATCAGTGACATGTTGTTATGCTTACCATGTACCAGTGAGTGTATATGTACACGTGTATGGAAGCTTGCACTGGTACCCCCTCAACGTTATAAAGAGAAAGTTGGGAGAGACAAATCGCCTGATGCATCTACACCATAGAGCTATATTAAATTACTAGAGCGCTAACTCCTCATTCTCACGTGCGAAGACGCTTTGAAGCTGCTCTGGGCGCAGACATTTTTAATTTATGTGCGTGTTTGTAGAACACAATCAAAATAGATGGATTGAATTTTGAAAGTGTACTCTAAATGCAACGCGCAAGTACAAGATACGCAAACAACTTAAGCGCGTCATGACAGTTCAAAAAATGTCACAGCGAAAAGCATCTGCAGCGGAGGGACGCGCACACGTTGCGCTGTTTGCATAGAGCAAAATGAAACGCTCATTTGCTGATCGTGCATTTCCGTTTTGGGCGTATCGGCTTCGATGACACACCGGTATGGAATGCAAACACTGATATGCAAATAGCTGTACAAAAATGCCGTACAAAATTTTGAATTTTCCATAGGTTTGTGCACAAACATGGATGCGCCCATATCAGGCATTACTTTGTACATCGAGTTAGCGCTCTAGTAATTTAATATAGCTCTATGATCTACACTCATGGTTGTGTGCACATTCAGAGCCACATTGTCTCTTGATGACTTTACTACTACTTACTACTTGGTGGTATGTGCCTGCGTGAATCAGTGCATGCACGATCATGTGTCCCAGCCACTGGAGGTCTTACGAGTGTTTGTGAAGCCGTAATAATTAATGTTCATGCAAGAAGTCCATGTGTCTTCAGTGTTGGTTTTGGATATACAGTGTATGCAGTTTTTGAGTTTAACAATTGAAATGGGAACTGAAAGGAAATACCTATGGATTGAGCGGGGATGTGATTAGTGTATATGATGCGAGTAGTGTATGATTGTGGTGTATTCTTGGCGTAATGTGACTTCATGGGATGTTGATTGGTGATAATGTTTTGATTTAACATGTTGATGTCCCAGGAATCAAAATGGAAGATAGTAAGTTGGACTGAGAATACCCTTACAGAAATTCTGGCAAGCTTGTCTGCAAGCTTGCTCATGTCAAGCTTGCGGACAAGCTTGCGGACAAGCTTGCGGACAAGCTTGCGGACAAGCTTGCGGACAAGCTTGCGGACAAGCTTGCGGACAAGCTTGCGGACAAGCTTGCGGACAAGCTTGCGGACAAGCTTGCGGACAAGCTTGCGGACAAGCTTGCGGACAAGCTTGCGGACAAGCTTGCAAGGTACCAACTTGCGGACAAGCTTGCGGACAAGCTTGCAAGGTGCCGAAAATGCAAATTAGGGCCTAGAAGCAAGCTGCATGTCAAAGAGATGTTGTACAAATGGATGTGCGTACAGATTATAAATTGCAAGTGAGTGATTTTGGAAAGTTAATAGGGTGAAAGTGAGTCGTGTGTTCTTGCTTTAAGCTTCTGGAACAAACTGAGAATAAGCTGCGGATATGGATAAATGCTAATTGAGGGGCGGGGAGGGGTGTGACTAGGCACATGTTAGAAGAATGGAATGAGTTTTTGTCGTTGAATGTAAAAACATTTTAAAAAGCGCGGTTCCCAACAAATGAAACATTACAGGGTGTGTACACTCCCAGGGAATGACAACTAAGTGGATTGTGCTGGCACAATGTAAAAAAAAAATGACTTATTTTGTACAGTTGAGTAGTTATTAA